CAACATTACACAAATCAGTGACAGATCTGAAACTGAATTTGGCTCCAATTACAATCTACTGTCAAATATATTAGACTATACTGGTTCTCCAGACTGAGACACTTACTTGCTAAATAAATGGACTCTTTTTCACAGGCCCTCTCCCCCGCCCCCAGAAATATTCAAACAATGCACTTGCAGGCCCAGAAAGATATTTAGTCTGTATAGCTATATTTCCTTAGGAATTTGGTGCCAAAATATTGATACTAATAAGAGCTTGTACACTACTAGCTGCCAAGAAGTCATAATAATCTCCGATGTTGGCAGCCAAGAGTCAGAGTGGATATTATGGCAGGTCAATGGAAAACCTTGAGAAATAATTTTTCATTATCCTCTGCTTATGTAGGAATTGGTGCAACACAAACAAACACTGAATTGATCTAATTTTGTACATGGGTTCCAGACCACACAAGTCCTTAACAGGACTGGAATCAGCAAACCTAGCTTTAGATTAGAATATTTACAAAATCACTGATAGACCGTAAGTATTTTTTACGAAACTCCAAATACCCTGCAAGATGGGTATTTGAAATCCCTCATAATAATTCTGGAGGTTAACCAAGATGAAGGTTGTGATTAAATAGGCCCAAAAATGCCTTTCATAGCATACTATAGGAAGAAAGGCCATTTTATGTTAGGCAAAGCTCATAATCAAATTTATTTCATCCATAACTTACAAAGAAGACTGAAAACCCTCAGATTTACTGATATATGCAGATATCTATCTGTGAACTAGCAGACTGTTCAATTAGACTTAAATTGCATTAATTAAACTTTGGATTTTCTGATCTCCATATTAATACACTTGGATCATGAAAAACAAACATAAAATCTGCACTGCCATTAAGATAAGTCAACAAGATAAATTCCTCTGTTATCATTTTCTTGTGTCTTCCAAATATTAGAAAACCTGTCCATCAAATGACATCATAGATTAATACTATTAACTGTTGTATCCATTTGATGCAACTAAATAACATATTTCAATCTCTGCCTCTAGTAAGTGGTATTAATCTTCTTCAATGCTTTCTATACTAGCCATTTCATTTTTGCTTAATTTTCTTACGTTGTTACTCACAAATCCTTAAGCACTATCATCTACCTAGGTATTTCTAAAGTACGCATCATATTTTGGCATCAAAGCACCAAGATTTTAAACATAAAATAGGTTTGTGCTTATATATACTGGAGAAATGTGATGCAAGCAAAATAGTATCTAGGGGGTTTCAAGGTAATGTCCGTGGCAATTATTTCAGTTGTTGCATAAGAAAACCCAGCCTTTTAAACTGTTGGCTCACTGTGTACCATATATATAAGATCACAGAAAAGCACAACTGAAAGGGACCTCAAAAGGTCATCTACTTCAACCCCAAGCAGGATCACCTGAACCATCCCAGACAAATGCTCACCTAACCTGCACTGAAAAAAACATTCAGTGATGGAAATTCCACAGCCTATGAAGGTGATCTGTTTCAGGGCTTAACCACCCTCACAGATGGAAATTTCTTCCTAATATCTAATCTAGCCTCCCTTACTGAAATTTAAGCACAGTACTCGTGACTTATTTAATCCAACCAGAATCTTCAAATCCCAAAATGCATGCCTGTACAACATTCTAGGCAACGGAGAAATTCCTTTAACTATCAGTAAGAACTTATACCTTCTCTTGAGACTAGGAGGCCTGTAACCATGACAAACTGGCTTCTACATAGCTATGCTTGTTATACCACTGATTTATATTGAATGAAATCAAAAGCCATTTATACACATACTTTTCTGGTCTACAACACTCCAGAGATCCACCGCTTCGGACTAATCGAGTCTGCTCTGCATGCGAGCTAACACAAACTGCACTATGCCGCATGCGGTCATAGAAGTGGCAAAAAATGCATCAGCATGAAGAAAATGGTAGTAGTAGGCTTTTGAACTAAAGCACCTCCAATGTGTTTTAGTTCAAAAGTGCACCACCACCATATTGTCAGCGCTGATGCTCATTTTGCCACTTATACAACTGCAAGCGTTGCAGCACCAGGCGCTTTTCAAAGTGCTTGATACTGCAATGCTTGCATGCGTAAAAATGCCCCAACGCTACTTAACTGTGTATCAATTTGCCATAGGTATTCACCTTCCAGTATTTGGAGGCCAAGAGTTACAGGCCTGCATTTTGGGACCTAGAGATTCCGGTTACATTAAAGGAGTGAAAAGATAACACATAGTAACAAGAGGTATTTCCTGTTCTTTGCATAAAGGAATTCTCAAATTTAGCTGTGAAGCAACTGCTGGATAAATGTTGGCTTCCTCAGGGCTAACAGCTGTATGTAGTTAGTTAATCCCAGTAACAAAAATGCATGTTGCCATAGGCTTTATGTTGCTGGCCATATCATGTAAAAATCCAGTGCAGTGGTTTTGCACTCTAAACTGCTATACACTGAAGTCTGAGATCAGGCAATGCATTTTATATAGTTTTTCAACTGCTTTCTCTGTTTTGAAAATTTCTTTATAAACTACCTATCACTGAGGCATCTACACACTGAATTAATTTTAAAAGTATAGTACTGATGGATCAGAAAAAGAGCCAAACAGTTCTCCATCTCATTCTATTTGTAATCTTGACCCCTAATTACAGAAGAAATACCACCTACAGTGACAGAATTATAGTGCTCCATATAACTTCCCCCACCCAAACAGCAGTATTGCTCCTGCATTGGCTATTTTCTTACAAATCTAGAGCAGCTGCAAAGGGCTAAAAAAATCTATGGGTAATCAAAAAAGAAGCATAACTGTAATAATCTAAATCTTGGCAAAAGCAGCATTAAAAACAAACAGTCTTCCAAAACGTCAAGGGCCTGTATCCACCTCAATAACCTTATATCTAATCAGTTCACCAGCAAAGCTAAGGAGTGGAGTGACCTGACCGATTACAGACCAACATCAAAAATGTCAAGCTGAAAATGCTGCTACTGCATTGATCAGAAATATGACCAACTGACTCTTCAGCAGCTTGTTCTAAAAACTTTGTGCCCTTAATCTTTGCTTTCTACCTCTTGCTCACCAGTGTTAAAAGGTATGTTTCCTTTTTACTTCATGTAAGAATTCCTAATGTCCTCACAGTGTTAAGGATTCACTACCATTTTAGACAGCAAGAGATTCATTGGTATCATCCTTCGTGTTAAACAAGAAGCCTAGCAAATTCACAGGAAAAGAATTTGAGAGAGAGACCAAAATTCATCTAACATCAATTTGAACCAGGATCTAGCCCTTTATTTTTTTCACAAAATGTGTGCTCTCTTGGAATATAAAGGATAACTTCAACCCCAAGAACCTGCATCAGAGTAACCACGCAGCTAAGCACGGAGAAATTGCTAAAATACCTCCTGAGAGTCATCAACACTTCTGTGTTCAACCAGAGTACTTCTGCTGTGCAATGTATCCCTCTGACACACTTCCCATCCGGCACGGGAATAGTCAGTAATTGACTCAAGCTGTCTTCAAGTGGCTAAATGCAGAACTGACCATTTCTACAAAAACCCTTGTGCTTTGCACTAAGCAATCATACTGCCTTTCTGGGTTGACCTTCATATTAGGGGCAGATTTCATACTGTACATCCACATGTCTTCCATGAAAGACAGTACTCCTCCATCAATATCTATTCTCACCATTCAACAGGAAACCAGTAGCCCTGATTCCTGGTCCCATGGTCTGACAATTTGACACACAGACTCACTTGACACCAGGCACCAACAGAATAGTACATGGCTGGGCCTGTAATTTATAAGTTGTACCTCCCTTTTGGAGCAAGCTTAATGTCTGCCCATACAGACATGACAACTAATGATTTTATTTTTCCATTGACAGTAAAGAAAATGTAAGTCTTCTTTTAGTTTCTACTATATTTATGTCCCAGAAGAAAATATTAAAAATATCATGTATAAGCCATCCAAAACACAGATTTGGGGATCTTATTGATGCAGCTCAAAAAAGAACAGAAACTATTTTTAAAAAGTAGTGTGTCAGAAAACAGAAAGTAGAAGATTGTTTCATTATATAAATTTATCATTCATGAAAAAGTAAAGCAAAAAACACATATGGTCTTCTAATAGAGATTGTGTTACAAGAGGCTGTAATTTCTGAGGTGAGATGAGTGCATACACCTTTATGTTAAATAACAAAACAATCAAAATTAACATAAGCAGACAATGTTCTTTGGGTGAATCTGAAACCACTCTCTCCCCAATCTCCCAGTCCTGATCATCAAAGGAAACTTACAAAACACTTCCCAGAGACGAGCCTATGAACTCCACTTCATCAACCTCCTGGACAGTAAAAATCATGGACTAAATATAGACATTGTATTTATGACACATTATAACCTACCTAACATCTGACACCCCAGGTATCTCTCCACTATTCATTCCCCTTCTCTCCCCCCCCTCCCCACCCCCAGCCTGTCTCTCACCCATTGACTCCTCAATCTACATTTTCACTGACTGCCTGTCTTATATGCATACCAGCCCAGCCTCTGGCTTCCTTACTTTTCATTCCATCCAGGAAGAGCACACACCAAGTGCAGAAACTTCCTTAGCCTGACAAAGGGTGTTTGAACCCAAAAGCTTGCTTAATAATTGTTTTCCAACTATTTAAGTTGGTCTAATAGAAGATATCAGGTTCGCCCAAAGAACTTTGTCTGCCTGTGTCCTTAGACCAACACGGCTACAACTTACATCCCTATCAAAATTAACATGATATCTTTTATAGACCAGGACACATAAATAAAGCATTCTTGCTTCATTTTAGTTTAACAACAAAATTAGGACCTGTAATCTATGAACAGAAGCTTTACATTGCATTAAAACAGATGTCCCACTGCACTCTTAAATGTGGAGTGACTTAACTTTATGTTATTACAGTACTACTAGCAAAAAGAAGCAGAGCTTCCAATTAAAAAGAGGTTTCCCCTTACCTGTGCTCCAGCTCTCGAATGGATAGTATAACTCCAGAAGTTGATGCCTTCTGCTGCAAGGTGGCTAGAAATGTGAACTCGCTTTTATTCCGAAAAAGCTGAATTAACTTCTCGTTCAGGTGGGGCGCAGCATGGATTTCTCTTTCTACATCTGAGTTTTATTGAAAAGAAGAGGGAAAGGGGGGTGACTCAACAGCAAGTAAAAATGCCAAGTCAGAAGGATTCAGATTACATTTTTCATTTTCTCTTGCCCATCGATATTTTTCATTTTTGAGTTGTCTACCACATGTTACAGCTGCATTCATTCAATGCAAAAGCCCAAAATACCATCTCTGTCAATGTGCCCACTTGTCACTTTGACAAGCTCACAATTGGCCAGTCACCGATTTTCTAACAGAATTTTTGACAGGATGCTGAGCCATTCAGGTCTACTGTGAGCAGATTAAGCGGCTGTTAATAAGATTTGCCGCAGTCAGATAAATAGAATCCTAAATTCTGAGACATTTCAGGGACTCACTCAGCACCGCTTACCAAGTTCTGATTTCAATTTGCTCATTGACTCAGTCACCATCTCCCCACACTACATCTAAAGAAACTTGTCCTTGCACTGTGTAAGGCAGAGGTGTGTTATTGCTAATAATGCTATATGGCCGTGCCTCTGCCTGAAAAAAATAAATACAAGACGTGCTTGCAATACACTGTTGTTTCTAGGATTTCTCAATTTAAACAAGCAAAGTGTGATAGCTCATGCAATATTTATTAAACTACAGCCTGATCAGGTAGGGCCAGAAGTGTTTCAGTCTTGCTAACCCTGATGTTGTCCAAGCAGCAGCATGCCTCCCCACAGCTGATCTTCTGAGACCCAAATTCACTTCCATTCCAACATGCCTGCTTTTATCTCACGTTTTATTACACTACATCACCACCACCAAAGATGGGGAATAATGAAAGGGAGACTAGAAAACATAGTAAAGAAATGAATCACACATCATTTCACTCTCCTCTGCTATTTTGTTTTCTCATGTCTCTTATGCTGAGGCATGTCACACATTCTCAAGGCATGTGTCACTTTCTGTTCTCAAATGCCATTACCAATTTAAAGCTTGATGCCATTTTTTTTAGAAGGGCTGACTCTAAAGTCAAATATTCAAGGCTGAGCTCCTCAGCTGGTGGAAATGAACATGGCACTACTTCACTCTGGGGATCTGGTCCAGTGTGAGTACTGTAACAGACTTTACCATTCAGGGTGCAGTTCCATAACACAGTCATACCAGTAAAAATGTGCTTTTACCCTAAAGTAAAAGTGGAGCAGACTTAGAAGTATAAGCCACTTCACTTCTGCGTCAAGTAACTCCAAACGAAATTCTACACAACATGAAACACCTTCATGTGGCCTGATTTTAAGAACATATGGTAAATTCTTCCTTTGAAAATCCCGCATCCCCCTCTTGCCCCCCTGCTGCTTTGTGGTGCTGAGCAGCCCTGATATGCTGGTGCTTTGCCCCTGTCCATGCCATTGCCCTTCATTTCCAAGCCATAGCCCCAGGAAAGAAGAGGGTAGGCACAGGCGATGCATTGGGGGATCCACTGGGCTGCGGAGGCAGCCAAAGCAGGTCCAGCCCAGCTGCATCCTCATGCCCTACTGTGGGCACAGAAATCTGGGTGGGCACATGCCTCTCCCCATGCCCCAACATGTTGCCTGTGCCCCCCACCCCATTGCCTGTGCTCCCCTGACACTCCAACACATTGCCTATGCCCCCCGCTGCATTGTCTGTGCCCCCCTGCCCCGCCTCTGATAGACTTACCTGGAGGGAGATGTAGGAGTTGCTCTTCACCAAGCTGCCTAGCTGCCATGTGCATGTGTGCACGCGCACATGCACATGGTGCCTTCTGCCCCCTGTTTCCCCTAGCCCATTGCAGCCTGTGTTTCCCAGGCTTTTCTCCTTGAAAGCAGCAAGTCCGTGATTTTCTCTTTTAAAGGAGAAAACCTACACTTTTCCTTAACAAATGGAAAACCCAAATCCCTGGTTATCAAACATTGGTGAAAAATGGATATAAATCAGGGGCAGCAGAGTTATTTCAGGGATAAATTTAAAGCACAGAAGCATGAAAAACTCAATTGTTTTCATTTTTATTTGATATCTCAATATATTATCAAAATCCTTGTTCTTCTGTTAAAGTAGGGGTTGACAAACTATGGTCTGTGGGCCAAATCAGAACCAGGAAACCCTTGAATCCAGCCTGCAGATGTGGGGCCATGGCACCCTTCAACAGCAGGGATCTACTGCTGCAGAATGTCTCTGTGTGCTGCTATGGGGACAGGCACAGGCTGCAGGAGCTCGCCCCAAGACAAGCAGCAGTGGCAGTGGCAGCTGGATCCCAGTACCCATATGCTTGCCTGCCTCTGACCCACCTGAGTCCTTCCAGCCTGCAGTGGAAAAGGTTGCCCATCCCTGTCCCAAAGGCATGATAGCTTTGATCAGAGATGAAGATGTGATGTATTCAAAATATTTTTGAAATTCTGTCAAACAATAGTCCATTCATACTGAAACATAACCCACTTTACAGATGGCATACTTGAGTATTTCAAGGAAACTGCAAAATCCAACATTGCCTAGTGATAAGTGACCCTGAATGAAATGACGTTTTTGACAAAAACCTTATCCAAAATATACTGGGCTTCTTGGTTATAATTATGTGGCTTAATTTTAGTACAGTAATCTTTCTCTTCGAAAAACACTTTGAAATTTGGTATTGTATTGCCATGTCTTTTAAATGTGCATGAATTTTGTTACTGCAGCAGGACCCTGGCCAACCAGCCCTGCATGGGTACAGCCCAAGTACTGCTTACTCCACAGGTATTCTCTTCCCTTTTCTATAACTCGCCTGACTCAAGTTGGTGTTGCTAAAGGAAATTAACAGGAGGTGGTACCTGCTGCCTTTGGGGTTTACAAAGAGGGTGTGGGTCCTGATAGGTGTGTGTCTTCTGTGGGGCTCTACCTTTCCTACACCCCACCCCTTTCCTCTCGGGTGTTGTCGGTGATCGGGCCGGGTGCCTGGTCCTGTCACGCATCCATCATCACTTATGCAGTACCCATGATCACAACAGAGAAAATAACTATACAGTTATAACTTAGGCAAAGTCAGCTTGTCAGTGCACTCCAGTTTCTGTTCCTGGGGTGAGGGAGCTCGTCAGGGCTTACACTTCCCCCCTCTATGACTGCAGTATGATTGGGCTGATCCGTCTGGGACTGCGCCCTTTGAATACTCAGGGGCCACTGGCATGATGAACAGCCGTGTGGTCCCCATGTGTACCAGGCTTCTGTCGGGTTGATGACTGTGGAGATGGTGGGCTGTTGGTCCCAGCTCAGGGTCCGGCATTCCAGTGGGGAGACTTGGCTTGAGCCAGTGCCAACAGCAGCATTCCCCCTTCCTCTGGGACCGGCGTTCTTTTATCCCGGAAGTTCTGGACCAGCTCGCGCCAACATGGATCCCTGCCTGCCCCACATGCCTTGTCCCCACCACCAGGAGTTACGAGCTGCAGCTGTGCTTGACATCCCCCGTACCTGAGGTTCAGGGGCTCTCAGTGGTGCTGTGCCCCAGTGTTTCCTGCCTGCTTGGCTGGCTGGGCTCCAGAGTCATGTGGGACCTAGGCTCCTGCTCTCATTCTACCCTGGGCAAGAGGCCAGCAGCGCGTCCACTCCCTGCCAGCTGCTTGTCCCACCCTTGGGAATATACTGGTGGTGGAGTGTGCTGGCATCCCTCAGGCTCATGTTTCCCTGCCTGGCCAGCTGCCAGCTTGCTACCCACGGAGCAATACGGCCATTCTGACCCTGGTAGGTACTGGGCTCAGCTGGGTCCTGCTATAGTTATAGTCTTATATTCCTATTTTAATAGATGCATTCAAGAGAAAAAATGCTCTACTGTGCTATACTACTGATTCAAAGTACCGGATCTTACAGAATATTAATGTAGTGCTTTGATCATAGTTATAGAACACTCTCTATAATGGAGATAACTTATAATGGATCAATCATGTAAATACACCACTGACCAACACCATCAATAATTAAATTTTATAAGCCAAGATGTCCATTTGCAAAGTGACCTACACTTCCTAACATGGAAAAAAGTTATGGACACTCTTTTTGTAGTTGAAAAACAGTCGACTGGAAATAGAGACTATTTGCAGAATGGTAAAATGGCAAATATCACCCCTGATTTTGCAGTCTGACAGGTACTGGCAAACTCCAAAGCAATGTGGAATTCCATCAAGTTCAAGGCTACACCATACGGATTCAGGGATCCACTTTCATGGAGCAAACAACACAATCTGACCCCATTTTGCTAAAAGAAGTGGCTGTTCCTTAGACCAGTGCTTCTCAAGCCATGGATTATGACCCAGGAGTGGTTCGCAAAAATATCGGAAAAGGTTGTGAACAAGCCCCAGAAAAATAAGAGAAAGCATGGTTTTCCCCTTGTAGGCTGGCAACATTCCAGCCTGCAAGGGGTTTCTTGTGATGATTAGAGGCAGCAGGTGCCACATGAATCTGTGCACACACATGCACATGTCCGGCATGCAGCCAGGCAGGGGCACTGGAGCAGCCCCAGCAGCTGGATGCATGTACGTGTATAGAGAGTGGGAGTTGGAGGTCCAGGGCTTGAGGACTGTCCGGGGGGGTGTGGGTGTCAGTGTGGAGGGGATAAGTGTGTGAAAGGGGACAGATGCCTACCCACACTGGGGAAAGGGGGCTGGGCGCTGAGCCTGTGTTAGGGCAGGAGGGGCTGGTGGGGCGGTGTGGGAAAGACGCTTGTCCCTCTAGTGGGCGAAGGGGTAGGCAGGTCATTTGGGGGCAGTGGGGAGCTGTGTGGCTGGGCCAGCAGCACTAGAGCCGGTGCCTGTACTCCCAGGAGCAGGTATATGCTGCTTGGAGGGTAGGCGGGGCCGTGACCAGACTGCCTGGTGCAGCGTGGGTGCCCCAACCCTGGGCAGGGGGGGTGCCACAGGCCTCCCCTCCTCCTCCCTCTAGCCCATGCCAAGGCCAGACTCACTCCACTGCTGCCTTCATGTGCCGGAGCTCCTGCAGCCACTACACTCCGGCCCAAGTGGGACAGGGGCAGCTAGGGGCCCCCTCTGGCATGGCTGGTGGT